CTCATTTATTTCCTTAAATAGTTAACATTCAACCTAAGTCGACTAAATTTCTATTGTTTGCCTCAATTACCTTCTTCACTTTCTTAACGATGAGAGTCAGTTATGCTATTTTTAAACCTTTTTCTTAAAGCTTCGGTGATTTGAGTATTTCGTTTATTTCTATGTTATGAAAGAGTACTCGACGAGGGAGTCAGTAGACCGAGTCGCTGGTGAGAACTGACGAAGAAAGACTTTAGTTTCTTTAGTTTTGGTGGCTATTACAATTGCTAAGAACATTCATTTATAATTATTTACTTAGATATAATATACATATACATATACATATGTATATTCATAGAAGGAAAATTGCATACATATTTTTAATTAAAGGGCGATCCATTTCGAAGTTCCCCTCTTTTTTTAAAGAATAAATACATATACTTCAAATTTCATGAGGAATGTTCATTATCAGTCCAAAGAAAATTTGTTGGCATTTATTTTTAAGATTATCTCTTTCAAATATTGGCCGCGGCCACGTCTCAAATGGTCCATCCATTGAGTAATATTTTCAATCACTCGTTCGAGCATTTCGACTAGTAACTAGCTAATGACACGTATGATGTTTCAASGTCTGAATCGGAGCTGGMCTGTCCGCATAGACTTTAKACWTTACATACCCTCACAGGAAGAAGCCTAACGGTGTAATATGACACACTTGTTTTGGCCAGAACGTGAAATTATCTGCTCTGTTGAAAAGTGGCGCGGTCCTGTTGAAACAAATGTCGCCGAGAWCACGAGCTTCAATTTCAGGCATCAAATAGTCGGTTATATGGACCGAAGATTCCATCGGCTCACAAACCACACCAACCGGTGTTTTTTCTGGATGAAATGGCAGCTCTTGGATGTCTTCAGGTTGCTTTTTGCCCCAAATGCGACAATTTTGCTTGTTTACATTCCAATTGAGCCAGAAATGAGTCCCATCGCAGGACAAAATGTGGTTCGAAAACATTGGATCTTCTTGGAACTTTTCAAGAGCCCATAGAGGAAGCGATGTCCCTTGAGAAGGTCGCGCGGCTCAGTTCTTGAACAAGCTGGGAAAAATCATTCCATACGTTACTCCGAGTTATTGCGAATGGCGCCGAATCGACTCTTACGGTCTTCGTGTACACTCTCAGCTGAGCTGCGGCTGCTATATTTTCTCCACTGCTTGCTAGACGTGGTCTATTCGGTCYAACAATATCCAATAAGGAATGCTGGAACTGAAGATGGGACATGGTGCTGCTAATAGTACGCTCAGGGCGCCGATTATATTGACCATAAGTTGAGCGAAGTGCGCGAAACACATTCTTTACAGAACGTGAATTTGAAAAAGTTGTTCAGGCGTAAGTATTTCTATGATGAAATGCCAAACAATGCTGAGCAAAAATAACACAAGGAATTGACATGACTCACGTGTGATCTGTCCAATAAAGGCTATTGAATAAAGTACCTATAGTTGGATCACCCGTTATTGAAAATAAGTCATTTTTACGGGTTTGGATTGTTATTAATAATTCGCATCGTTCTTAAGCTCCACTAGGTTAATTATATTTTCATTTCCTTATTCGAAAATTTGATTCATTTCAKKCCCTTTATATGAGGTAAACTCTGYCBTGTAAATAAATGCATGTGGGGTAAAAAGCTTACAGTTTATACACGAAGGCTAATCGATATAAAAACGTATTGTTAAATTATTCAAGTAACAACAACGGTTTATTTTTATGCTTCTAAGAATTGATTTAAATATGCAACTCATGCAATGACATCGAAATGATTCATTTACGAGTTTATTAAAGTCAGCAGAAGAAAATCCTGCACACACAATACAAAACTCAGTGCCATATATGTATGTACCCAAGTTTATCCCTCTGTCCTTGTTGGACAATAATAGTTATGTACCAGACGATRGGTCGTGGCGGCTTTATATGCTCAGTATCTTTTATAAATTCAATACTWAACGGGATTGTAATTTAAAAAAGGCAGAGAATACGCACTTTCATTTAGCTTTCGCAACCAGTTAACACATTCTTCTCTATCGCATGTAGCTGGAATGCCAGCTATTTCCTGCGGGGACGTTGTGGCAGTGCGCATGTGCGGATTGTGTCATACTACGTAAATAACAAAACGAAAAAGAGAGAAGGATTATGCACACGAAACGTTAGTCTGACATTTTTGCTTCGTAGTGGAGATAGCTTTGCCACGCCGCTTGTMAAACTATTGGAAATCGGCAAATATTCAACAGACGTACATACATATATAGTAAACATGATTAGGCGGATTCTGCTCTTGGTCACTCRCTAAAATCMGTGCCTTTGTTTAAATCAAATGCTGTTGCAACAATTAAGGTTGAGTCATTACAGTRGTTGTTGCGAATCGAAACGAAAATGTCCTCAACACCAGAGCAAAAGCAGCAGCAGCAACAACAAAACACCCTGCCGCAATCCCCAATCGGTGCACGTCGCGTTCGTACCGATTTGAAGACATCACAGAATATATTTCTGGCAACAGCGAGGCCGAGCATACCCCGCACATCGTCGCCCATCAATATTAAATCAGTCACATGTGGCAWTGTGCAGTCAATGCAATCCCCACAGCAGAGCACGCAACACACCCCCTCGCCGAGTTCACAAATSTTGCATGGCATACATAAATCACACCTGCCACATGCCACACATAAGCACAGGAGTTCAAGGCGAACGCCAACTGTTGCTGTTGCAGCACCTAAAACGATGACGACAACAGCAACAAAGTCAACGTCCACATTGAGCGGTGTGTGCAACTGTTGGTGCCATTGTGCCGCTGCAACGGTGCTGTCGACTAGCGCGCCGCATGCGAATGSCACATATCTGAGGTGCGCAGCGCAAACACTTTACGTTGATTTTTTAGCTTTCCATATCGCAGTCAACTTGGGATTGTGATAATATTCCAGTAGAATCCACAAATCTTTTCTTTAGAGTGCTTTAACGATTTAGATTTAAGCTCCGCAGATTCGACCCAATATTTATTGTTTTAAGCTCAATCGCATGCCAGAATGTTGAAAGTACTTATGTGTTCTTACGTGTTTTTCCTCACTCTCTTTTCAGTGCTCATTTGCCCGCTCGCGCCACTCGTCTTCTAAATCGTTCGCGCTTGCAGCAGCAACAGTATCCCTCCTCGATTGCCAGCGGTGTGACCACGAATGCGGCGACTGGAAGTTCGGTCTGCGGTGGCGGCGGCGATTCTGACAGCTCCAAATCAGCGCACAGTCTGCGACGCAGCGCAGCCGCTTCGCGCGCCTCAAACGCTTCCACATCATCAACGAATGCATCGCTGCCGCCGAGCAGCCATTACCATCATCAGAAACCATTTCAGCATCACTACTCACAACTGCATCGCGACTCGCACAGTTCTTCGGACGATCTAATGCTATATGACAAATCTTTCCGAAATGCGATGATTCAGGATGTGTTGCAGTTCAAAAAACAGTTGCTGCGGCTTCGACGCATTCTACAGGACGTAAGTATGAGAGTACTTTGAGACACAGATCCAACACTGGACAAACACAAGAATACACACTAAATATAGTATTTGTTGTGTACATAAGTTTAACATATTTATTATAGYAAACTAAGCGAAATAGCCATATGGAACGAACCATCGGAATAATGTTTTCTTGAATTAAACACCCATGAATCTACACTCTAACTAGCRGTAGTCTAGAATTATAATGTCTCGTGCTTAAAGTAACAYTACATTTGAGCGTTGATTGAAAAGTGAGTTACTAAGAGTTATAAGGAACAACAAAATCTAACTAAAACTTCACTTTTAAAAGAGAGATAAGACGGTTAGAACTGTTAGACGAAGTAAACCTTGGCTTAATGTTACAACTTACATTCCGATTGAACCAGAAATGGGCCTTGTGGCTAACAAGATTTGACTCGGCAACGTCGGATCTTCTTGGAACTTTCCAGGAGCCCTTAGAACGAAGCGTAAAATGCGCCAAGTCGTTCCATATGTCAGTCCGAGTTGCTGTGCCCAATCGACTCTCTACAGTCTTTGTTTACTCTCTCAGCAGCTATGTTTTCTGCACTGCGTCTTGGACATGGTCTATTCGGCCGAATATTGTAATACATATATTATATAAGACAGTAATGGTCTTGCGAATAGTACGCTCACTAGGCTAACAAAGTTGAATGATTTGTAAACCTTGTCTTTCCATAATGAAATCATACACAATACTGAACAAAAATGACAGCTTGTCATGCCACTTGCGTAATCTGTTAAAAAAGGGCTATTGAAGAAATTATGTCTACTTGGATCACCCGCTATTAAAAATAGGTCATAAAACGGCTCGACTTGAAATTTGTTTTGGGTGATGAACGGCTCCATAATTTTTACCGATGACAAAAAATTCATTTCCGATGGAAACATCGGGTTGTCAGTAGAATTGAGCTATTCCTGAAACGCGACTAGTACGCCACTGGCGAAATTTCCACGGTGGCTCTCTTATRATCTCGGCTACTTTTAGCTACCGGCCAGAGACCAATAACTTTTATTTCTCATAAGATGAATGYGGATAATTACGTAAAAGTATTGGTTGATGATTGGAAGAATCCGAAGAATTGCACTGTCAGTAGACAATGCTCCAATCCATAGCGCTAAGCGTAAAAATAAGTTTTTCGCGTCGAAAAATATTCCTGTGCTAAATTGGCCTGCGATTACCAGACGACAATCTAATGGAGAACCTCTGGAGCATTTTTAGCAAGCATATTTACAGAGATGTATGCAAATTAGACACTTGATTGCAGTTCGAAAACGAAGAATGGGAAATGGAAAAGTAGACTTCAGTGACCTTAAGTCACCAGCAAATACGCCACGACGTCTAATATCGGTCAGAGTAAAAAACGGATATTTTTATTTTTGTCCTATATATCCTATATATTCCTCCAGAGTTTTGAAAAAGTTAAAATTTCCACAAAAAAAAACTTGGTAAAATTCTTAATTAAAAATATTTTACATTGATAATTCTAAGATAACAAAAAAGCCATTCGTTAAGTGTCCTATATAGCTATTTCGCTCTGTATATACAAAGTTGTTGTCTATATAAATTACTACTCACTTTATTGTCATTAATAATTGTTTTGTCTTTTCTATTTGCATGTAAACATATTTGGTTTTACCATGATCCTGGTTTTCATTTAATTTCGCACCGCATTTTACTTTAAAACTCCACATACATACAAATATATGTACATACAATTACAAACTTAATACCAATATACCAACAGGACGAAGAATATTTGATGAGGGTATGTTCATGCTTTAGATTTTTTTCTAGGCGCTAGAGGTGTTGGGCATATAGATCAGCCGAATAGCGGCATAATTTTGGATACTTTATAATTTATTGTTCTAAAGAAGTAAATAACGGTTTAACGGTTAACTGGTATAAGTCATTTATCAAACAATGTCCAAGTGAATACAAATACTTAAATTTTTTTAATTAAGGTTATTTTTATATCCATAGGCGAAGGCAAAAATCTTTCGAATCAGATTTTCTACTCATTAAAAATAAAATCACTTTGACTTTACTTTTATCTGTATCGCAATGTGCTTTAGTTTCCACCAAAAACGTTTTGAAATCATTAGAAGTCTGCCTTTAAGCTCGTAGGTCTCTTGTGTTCATTATAAACCAGCAAATGGAAGAGCAGAAAAGAGATTATGAAGTCGAATAAAAGGTTGTCGACTTCAAACTACAAGAGTTAGTTACTAGAGTGCAGTCCTGTCTCAAGTAAGGCAGGCATGCTTCATATGCTTCTAATTTTCACAAATATTTATKMGTATTACTACAACAATAATAACRGCAATTAAATTTTTCGCAGACGGAGACTCTCAACCCATTCGATAACGACAATGGGCAACTCTTCGCCGCCTGCGGCTTGGACAGCAAACTACTGGATGACATGGACCTGGCCAGCCTGACCTCCTCGACCACGGATGACCCGATGGTGGAGTTAGCCGATCTACGAAGACAGGTGGTTTACCTTCAGGTATTTGCACGTTTTTATAAGTTTGCGTTGTTTTCTTTTCATTTGTCCTGCCAATAAGAATAAACTATACTTTAAATTTAAGTTCTTCTCAAACGTCTGTAAAGATTTGTCTTGAGAGACGGCAATACCCAAAATGCGTACTTCCTTTCTACTTTATATGGCAATGCAAAAATGAAAACTTAAATTAAAATTAAAGTTAAAATTAAAAAAAAAATATATATATCAATCATTTTAAAACACAAAAAAGTTTCCAATTGAGTKCTTTAGGTCATGAATAAATTCCCGCGCTCTCGCATAGCCCATATAAAGATTTTCCAATACCTTAACCGCAATAATTACATTAAAACTAAGGTAATTTATACTTACTCTCTTGCGACCAGTTGACTTTTCGACAAATTCAAATAAATATTGTTCAGTTCCTTAAACTCTAAATTATATTTATTTGTAACATTTTGAATTTCATATTGCATACATACATTTCTATTTTGAATCACACCTTTTATATAATTATATATAGTTGTATCTCCTTTCGTATACATAATATATAGCATGTAAATAAATGTACACCAGTATACAGTATGTAACAAAACGCACCCATTACGCCCCACCGTGGTTCACATACAAGCATTCATACTGTGCCTACACTGCGCGCCACTTGAATAGCATGTGGGCAAAGTAATTGTTGTGAATATAAATCTTGAATCTGACTTATATTATTCTTTGGTTTAAATCAAATGAATTAAGATCTCTTCTAAAATATTCTAAGCGAGGACTTACTCTTTGTTTTGATTAAAAAAATAAATATTAGGTAATTTGTTAGATTTCTTTTCCTCGAGAATAATGCAGATCCAGACCTATACACTTAACAAGACAGGGAACATAGGTTGTACTATACAAGTGGCGCAGAGTGTACAAACTGAGATTTTTGTGAGATTAATAGTGTATTGGCTATAAAGATCTCGAATACCCTGCAGTGAACATCAAAATAATGAGAAATGCATTAAACTACTTTATAAACAATATATTTTTGGACCAGTTGTAAAATTCTTTAGTAAARATTTATTTTATTTTTCTAACTATTGGAAAATCTGAGGGTGAATGGATATTTTAATATTTAGAGAGCTGCGTTCGAGGTCTTCAACTTCCAATGACCTTCACTGCAGGGTACATACATCCATAGACATTGGAAATATTGTGTAAACAAGAAAAAACACTTGAAATTCAAGTATCTCAAAACCATTTCAAAAGAAATAGCATGAAAGTATTCAAAAATACATGAAAGGAATTAGACTGCAGAATTTCTAAAAAAAACTGCAATTCGAACACGCTTAATCCTTCTTCGAAAGATTTTCAAAATTATTGCATTAAAGCTTTCAAAAAGGCATAAGATTTCCACGAGCGTCGCTGATTACAAACCATTGCATCCATTTGTCCAGTGAAATTGAATACAAAAGCAACCATTAAATTTCCCTTTTCATAAATACACACACACACACAACACACATRTACRTAAATGTCACGCAAGTGGCGAATTTCGTATAGATTTTGCTTTCCTTTCTTTCCGATTTTGTTACGTATACTATTGAGTTTGACTGTATATTAGTTCCGTAGTAGCGTCCACTGCTTGACTAAAGTTCTAAAATATTTTGGTATTGCATTTTCATAACGCTGCACAACAAACAAATCACGTCTGGCTAAAATACATCTACTACAACAACAAATGACGATAGGGAGAAGTTGAAGATCGCGAACGAACCATTCGTTTGCAGAAAAATCAAATAGAGAATCTGGAATCAAAAAAGCCACCAATACAAAAGGACCACACAAAAGAATTGATGAATATAGCAACACAAACAGAAAGGGTAAGTCAATAATTGTCAATTTTTTTGGGAGGATTTTGTCRTTGGACTCAACAGTAAACAAGCATCATAGCATAGCGTATCATTAAATAAGACAATAAAGCATAGAAGATAACGGGTGATCCAAGTAGAGATACTTTTTTCTTTTTTTTACTCTGTATTGTTTGGCATCTCGTCATGGAAAGACTTACATCTCAACTTTATTACGAAAATTCACGCGATTCGCTCAACTTCTGGTCAGCATAATCGGCCTACTAAGCATACTATTCACAACACCATCACTCATCTTGAGACGCAGCATGCATTAGTTTGTAATATTCAACCGAATAGACCACGTTCAGCACGCAGTAAAAAAAAAATAGCAGCCGTAGCTAAGAGTGTACACGAAGACCGTGGAGTCGATTCGGCGACGTTCGTAAGAACTTTGAGTGACGTATGGAAYGACTTGGCGCAYTTTACGTCGAGATCTTWAATTAGAAGCGTACAAAATACAGCTTGTGCTAGAACTGAAACCCTTCGATCTTCCCAAGAGACATTCTTTCGCTCTATAGACTCTTGAAATATTCCAAGAAGATCTGACGTTTTCGTGTCAGAAGCCCCGCGATGAAGCCCATTCCTGGCTCCATGGAAACGGGATTTCTTCTGATGAAATTGAAGCTCGTGATTTCGTCGAMTTTTGGTTTCAACAAGTTGGCAAACTCGTGTGATAACACAACGATAAGCTTTTCCCTGTTGGGATCTGTAAAGTCGAAGGTCTATGTGAAAATCCCTCTATGATTCAGGCCTTGGATTAAAACATCACGCATGTCATTCGCCGATTACCAGTCGAAATGCTCGAACGAGTCATCGAAAATAGGACTCAATGGATGAACTATCTTTTTTTGAAACAAATATCCTTCAAAAAAAATTCCAAAGAATGTTCCTCCGAACGATAATAAACATTCCCCATAAAATTTGAAGTTTCTGTGTTTTTTTTATATTTTTTTTTTTTTTTTGAAAAAAATAGGGTGCCTTTAAATGGATCACCCTTTATAAAGCAATCAAATCACCTTAAACGATAATATACAGAAATCTTTTGTAAATATTATTTTACTAATAATACTCTTTGTTTATATCCAACAGATACGACCACTTTCATATGGCCTMGATGGACTGTCAAGGTAAGATCTGGGAAATAATGTAGAAGCATAGACGGTATGCAATTTAGCCCCTTGGGTGACCTAATTGTTGCAATATAAATTTGAAGTGTAAAAAAAATTAGTTTTATCACAGGCCACTGACGACCAAATTTTAATTCCTCTTTCCTTTTACTTCGATTTTCGTCCCACAGCCCGGACAGCCAACTGCAACCTGCTTGCGGTTGCACAGAAAAGACTTTACATTTTTTCCACTATCTCAAAACTAAAATACCCAGAAAACATTTCGCCCCCTGCCAGATACTAATCACATCCATCCCGACAGCCACACAGCGCTTCTTCATTATAATTCACCGCAAATTGCAACATTTCAAAGACAACTTCGGTGGCATTGTAATCGGCTGCCTAAACGGCTTCGCTGCGCCAAGTGGCCGAAGTGACGGGTGCGACGGCGACGGTGGCGACGTCACTGCCGTTGGCAGCGGTCCGTCKTGCCTTAGTCGCAGCGTTGGCACCTTGCAACGGCTTGCTGCATCTGCATGCGGCACGTTGTTGCGCTTCACGCGCTGCTGCACCGATTTGCATAGTTKKCGCTTTTTGCTGGCAAATTGTAGACAACTTTCGTGCAATATTTTGACRTGCTACAACAGCAACAGCACTAACTGCTGCAACTACATGCATCACCATTACCGCGGCCTAGTTGTACGTAGCCAAGACGCGGCCAATTGGCTCGATTTTCGTGTTCGCAGCGCCGTTACTWTGCTTGCGTCGAACATCTATTGCTTCTTTCACYATCTGCAACGTATACTRCCGTAGGCAAATTGTTTTGCGCAATCTCGTGAAATTAGGAGGACAGCAAATTAAGCTGCAACAACACTAACCAAATCGCAACACACGTGAATTTGCATACAACAAGTGTTTTCTTTTGTGTGGCGTTGCAGTTAGCAAAAATTAATTAACTTCTACTAAAACKCGTTGCCTTAACACACACACAGAATTAATTACTCTTAGGCAGCAGTTACGCCCTCAGCGCTTACACAACTTATTTACTGTTATACTACATAGATTTTCTAGCTTAAGCATAGCACTACTTATATACCGAATCTAACCTTTCGATTTTCTCTTTCATGCTGCCTTTTTGAATGGGTTTTGTATATTGTATTTTAATAAAAAATTAACAAACTTAAATAATTTTAATGACACATACACACACACACACTCACATGTAAAACACTCTCTCACAAATCACAAATGCGCACCGATYGCTGAATCGTGGCCACTGGTGAACAATTTGTAGACATCGCTATGGTGAAGAACAGGTACTGTTTTGTGATCTTATCATGGCTGTCATGGTTCTATGTGCCATTAACATTATCTGTATACTACATTTAACCTACTCATGTATTGATAACTGCTCCTCTTGTCTATGAAGTTAATGCAAATTGTTGTTATGTACTTACTTAAGTTTAAAACACTGTACAATAAAGTTGAATAGACTAAATAAGAAACAGTAGTATAACTTGAAAATCAGCACTCAACGTCTAGCTTATAATCAAAATAAATAGGGATCAACTCTGTGGGTTTTTTCTCTTACTATTCATGAAAAGCGGTAATGCTTAAGGGGTCAGTAAGGTAACCTGGCCTGTTTTTTTTTAGCATTTTAATTCATGGAAGTATTTCGACCGGAATCATGTCCGCCAATTTAAAAAAGTGTGTTCGAGAAAAACCCTTTTAAAAAGCCAGGTGTAGGTTTCTACATTAATTGTAAGGGTATAAGAGGACAGAAAATGCAAAAAAAAAAAATTGAAAAAAGATACTACTGACCCCTTAAGTCAAGCAGAGGTACAATAATCAATTATACAGGGAAGAGGTCTTGACTTGCAGTTAGTTGGGTCAAGTTGCGCTCTTTCGATCGGATTCAAGAATTCCGTTGTGTACCTAGCGACAAACGACGTCTTAAGTTGCCCGCTAACTAAATCAAGTTAAAAAAACTACAATGAAAACTGTATTCTTGAATTAATTTAGTATAAGAGAGTATTCTTTTCAACATATTTAAGGGGTTGCAAGGGTTTCTTCCGGTTAAGCAAACATTTTTTTCAACAATTTTTTTCTCAAAAAAAAAAAAGTAAATATTTTATTAGAAATTTTTATTGTTACAAACATACACTACTAACAAAGAAATTCTGATATTTTTGGAAAAAAAAATATTTTAAGCTCGGCCATTACGACGCTATCTCCAGTGACCCCTGGGAAAAAAATGCGCCCGGGTTGGAAAGTTGACTCCATACAGGATCATCTAAAGCGAAAAAATACCAGTTTTAGTTAAAACTTTAAGTTAGAACTTGAAAAAAAACTAAAATGCGATTTTTGGCAGAGATTTTTACAAAAAAAAAAAAAAAAAAAAAAAAAAAAAAAAAAAAAAAAAAAAAAAAAAAAAAAAAAAAAAAAAAAAAAAAAAAAAACATGAAAATCTCAGTGAAAATTTCGCGAAATTTTCTAATAGTTGTAAACGAGAAAAATGCTTCAACCAAGTCTTTAAGAATTGTATATCAAAGACCTGTGTAAAATTTGATGGAGGTCGGTAGAGTAGTTCTCGAGGAATCTTGCTAACCGACTTCAAACAMGCAGTTTCGAGGAAAACGCTTTTAAAGATTTGAGTGAAAAAAAAGAGTGAAATACAAGTGCACAAGTTCTCAAAGCTTTCCGAAACAATTACTGGGATTAACTTGAAAATTTAGGACAATATGCTAAAGATGTTGTAGAATATAATAATATAAATAAAACAAATCGATTTTCGGAAACACATAAACCCATGTAACCCCTTAAAAGGTCGGTTTGTAGAAGACTCGATTTCTTTCATTTCGAACATTTATTTAATTTAATTAGTTATTTAATTTAATAGTAAAAATGTTTCCTTTTAAAGGCCAAGCGAGATTTAATTTAACTACCCATTATAAATAAATTATAGATAGATCTTACTGGGGTTCTTATGTCTATGAACTAGTTAACAGCATCGCAGACAACTAAAGCAAAAATTAATTTTATTTTTATAAAATGTACAAAAAGAATTCTATTAACAAAAATAGAAAATAATTTATGAAAAAATTATTATTTTTTATATAGTGCAATGTTATATATTTTTACTCACTTTGGACATGTTAGTCTCGATTATTCTTAAAGTGCTCTTATGTAACTAAAATAAAAACAGACAGACAAAATAAACATATATATTAAATATGCTGAAACTTTTTAATTGCATGCGGCAATTAAACAGACTTGTGAGGTAATGCCTTTCTGTGATCAAAAATTAACCACAAATACCCGAAAAGTGCAGTGCAACAGGCAGAGCTGGCAGAGTTCTTCACATGTGTGTGGTCTCTTTAACTTTGTAGCACAACTGATGAGTTGAAGCAAACAAAATTTTAAGCAGTTTGGTTTAACTGTTGCACTGTGCAGTCGTTGACGCAATCGAATGCTTGTTTAGCGAGAACAAATACCGTTTTGAGATAATTTTTCTAAAACGAATCAAAAATTCCTCCTCCTCCTTTGAAGAGGATAGTGAAAGCACATATATTTMCAYATATGTGAGTAAAAACAAGCATGCAATTGCGCTGATATTGACGAAGAGAATATAGCATGCGATTAAAACTCTACCAAAAATTACATTAACATTAAGACACACACACATACACTAACCCACCATCTAACTAAATGCTCTTTGTTCAGCACATTCTTAATAAATACATGGCAGTGATTGTCTAGACAAACACTTGTTGAGTATGTTGCAAATCTGTAATAATTTTCTGTGCTTCTTTTTCTTTCCTCACGCCCGCGCAGAAGTAAGCCCGAGTACACCAGTTACACCACACGTTATCACCCGGCCGCCACCTGTGAAAACAATAGCATTTGCAGTGGTGCCAACAACAGCAACAACTTATGCACATACCAACAACAACACAACTGCTGCAATGGCAGTAACAACAACCTGCCAGCGAGCACCACAGAAGCAGCAGCACAGCAAATACGCCGTCACACCATCATATCCACCACTCTGAGCAATTACAATCAACAATCGACATTGGCCCCGCGACGTGCTTCGATCGCGTGGGAAAAACCCACAGCGCTTGCACCACCCACAACACCCCCGCTCGCACAKACAGCGACTGCGGCCGGCACAAAAYACGCGCCACCAGCCGCCACCACCTACAAACCCGTGAAAATCACACTGATCGGAGAGCCGCTYAAGCAGTGGCAATGGAATGCCGTTGGCAATGGGAAGACTTCTAACAGCCACGCGGCTGGCAACCATAGCGACAAAGAGGACAAGACAAAMCGTGAAGCGGGCGAGGGCAATAATAGAAGTGGAAGTAACAGCAGCCGGTGTGGTGGTAATGGTGSCAGTGATGKCGTGTGTAATGGCAAGAGTAATGGTGCGAATTGTGCGCACGGCAGTAATGGTTACACAAACGGCACGAGCAGCCAGACGAATGGCCGGAACGAGGTCTCGSGCAGTGGGCTACATCACCATCAGATGCAGATGAAGCCGCATATGCARCAGGCGCTGACACAGTCGGGACAACAGCAGCAAACACGTGTACAACAACAACAGCAAAAACAACAGCAAGTCTATCACACAACAAACGGCAGCAATGGCAATTTCAATCCAACAGTTACTATAGTCTGAGCGCAAAGTAGTTAGTTCGTAATGTCTGATATTGATATACATACAAACATACTTATATATACTAAAATTGATATTAAGATACAAATTTTGAAAAGTGAGTGAATTATGTAGAGGCGATCTGTTAGCGTACAGTTATTAGTATAATCTACTTATGTGTGTATGTTTTGACGGTCAAGTTATCTTAAGCTTTGCGAAAAATTTAATGCAGTACGTGAGGAAATTATGTTACATAACTATATATTATGCAATAAATGTGCAAATTATGTATGTATGTAGTAGTTCAATCTGTAGTAGATTTTCCTTAACAAGCATTAATGCCAATAATGGTTTACTACACATATTATTCTAAATACTTCTAAAGAGGCATCGTAATAAACGGAATGGACGCAGTTTTCYAATTCTTCACCCCATATAGAGTGTATGCACACGGCAAGAGGGTTTAATGAGGCTATTACTAACATATTTCGCGATCGCTTTAGTGCTTATTGGGCGGCAAAGCAAAAACTGCTGACACACATTCCTCTGTCACCACTGTACCCAATATATCGGTTATTGATTATAATCTCTTATAATAATATTATTACTATTCTTATCATATTATTGTTATTATTACGTATTATTAGTACTATTATCATTATTATTATTACTATTATTACTATTTATTATTATTATTATTATTATTATTATTGTTATTACGATTTTTACTACTATAATTTTGATATTGGTATTATTATGCAGATAAATGAATACAGTTGCAATTTTTGTTAAAAGTTTATTAGATTAATGTTACAAGATCCAGGACTTGGGGTTCTCAGAGAATGCCTAAAGGGTTATATATAGTTAAAAAGTCGAATAAAGTGAATTTTCCTAAATTTTTGATCTAAAAATTCGTACATATATTACGGTATTCAGAAATCACCAATCTTAAGACTTAGTATTAGTAAAACTATTTATTTGAGAAGGAACTACAGCTGGACTCCGGGAGCTTCTCTAAAAAAATACTTTTTGCCGTGACCGCTTTATCTCTGAACTGTATACTCTGAAATTAAAAAACTAAACAGATTTGGTTAAAGTAATATATATAGAAAACAAATCGAAAAAATAAGCAAAATAAAATTTTTTGACAAAATGGCGGTTTCTCAAAAAAAAAAAATTAATTTTTGAACAAAATTTCAGCCTTAGATTGTTTAAGAAAAAAAAATGTTTGATTTAAAAAAAAATTATTAATTACTAAAAAGTTTTCGAATATTTTTTTTTTTTTTTATGGTCAGCATAGTTTTCGAATAATATTGGTCACCGACTTTGAAAACACCATTTTTAGAAAAACGCTTTTTAAATTTGGCCTTGTACTTCCAAGCACTCTGAAACAGCTTTTCAAATTTGCGTGTAACTTCGAAAATATTCACCGGAACGAAATGAAATTTCCTGACTGTATTCTTAAATATATGTACATTAGCAAATAAAATAAAAAAATTAAATTTTTGAAAATTATAACTGTATAATAACCCCTTAGGGAATGTGTGATCAGCTCTAAAACAAATTCCTGAAACAATGAAAAAAGGACAGGCCAAACACTGAAAAACATGTTCGTTCTTACACACCATTTCAGACATTTGTGGCGCTCCAAAACAGCTGCATTGATAAAGCTCCGCTAAGATAACACTTCGCTTGATTTCACTACACAGATTGACGCTTCGAAAGTTCGTCAGAATTAATATTTTTGTAATAATCAAAATATATTACATACTTACAACGCACACTGATCCACTTATACTAATGACCACACATATGTACATATATACATATATACACACTTTGGAATTTACATAATTTAATTAAGAAACACCTTTCGTAAACTTGCTATWCTCACTAATATTATTATTATTATATACATACATATATACAAACATGTATTGAGTAATTAATCAGGCAAAGCATACGATTCCGATGTCATTGCATATATATTGAGAGAGAAAGTGTAAGCCAAGAGCAGAAACTAAACTGAAAAGTATTAATTTAGTGCTTATTTAAGCTTGACACACACACACACATACATGCAAGTACATAAATGCAAGCAAAGAAACAGAACTTGAATATATACTTATAAAAAACAGATTGTGGAAAACTTTAGCACATGCATACACACACACACACACATCTATGTTATAACTGTCTCTTATACACATCTAGATGTGTATAAGAGACAGCACACACACATCTATGTTATAAAGAACGCATTTGTGCGCTAACATATATATATATATAAATATCGGCAGCTACATTGAAGTATGAACTTGAGGAAATGCAGCCGCTACTAACACAATAAATGACAAACATACAAACATACAAACATACAAACATATTTACTCACACTAGGCATTTAGCATTTAGCGTTAAATAATTATCATAATCGTCCGGTAAGCGTGTGGCAGGCATAGCTGATCTCTAAATTACTTACATATATACATACACACATATGTATGTATGTATCTATGAGGGTACGATCATGAAGCATATAGACGCCACACATCCCCCACATAATTTAGTATTAATAGCTCAATCTGATTTAGCTTAATTTTGTTATCAATAAGTCCATATTTGTGAATCAAGTTGAAAATACATAATTAATTAACCCAAATTACACCAAAATTGCATAAATTATTAATCACTTATGTTTCGACCTGGAAAAACCAAAAAAGGGTTATCTCAAACCCTAATTTTACATGTTGCAATCACGCTTCATTGATTGATTGTTATTAAGAAGCGAAGATTAGTTTCGAACCTTCGCAGAAAAAAATCGTAAATTACATGAGACTCAAATAAAAACTATAATGCATGTACAGACATTTCGAGGTTGAGTTTTTCTTATACATATTACCTCTATGGTAAGGAGTTAGTTGGATGAAAACAATGTTGGCACAAATCAACCATGGTAAACACATGATAATGTCTACAAAGGATTTTGAGTGGAAAAGTCGAGAGCCCAGAACAAGAAAACACTCTCCGGGTTTCGCTAAGRCTATTCGATAGTTTAGCAGCATATGGGATAAACGTATCGTTASCTAAAATGCAAAATGACGTAACATCAATTTTCATAAGTTTACAGGCGAAGGATAAACGATATAATCAAACCACTAATATTGAAAAAAAAAAAAAAAATTGAGTTTTGGTTATAAAATGGTTATACATATATTGGTAATATATTGGTTGTCATAATCTCATATTGAAACAAAATCAGTGTAATTTGGGTATGAAACGTGTCTTTTTTAAAAAAGGCTATCGTAAGCAGCCATCTTTGGACATGCTTGATTGTGCGTATGCCAATGCCACATTCATGGAGAGCACTGTCTACCAATCAAACATGGACTTTTGTTTGACTTACTTGACTCGCAAACCAATCAGCAATCATCGGAATGGAGGAAAAAAACGAGTCGAAACTAGAAATCCACTTCAAAGTTGAATTCAAATTAAGGTGATGCTCATTGTTTTTTTCTTTCGAATTCGTGGATTGGTGCAACATGAATTTGTTTCGGAGGGTCAGACGGTCAAAAAGAAGTTCTATTTGTTTATATTGAGGCGTTTGCGCGAGAACAACYGTCAGAAACGGAAGGAATTGTGGAAGAACAATTCATGAATTTTGCACTATAGTAACGCCTCATCGCATTGAACTACGACTTTGATCGAATTTTAAGCCAAAACTGCAATGGCCATCAATTAACCATCGTATTTACCCGATTTGGCTCCGTGTGATTTTTTTTTTTTTTTGTTCCCCAAGCTGAAATTTGAAAATTAATTCCGTTAATTCCGAAGAAATTCATATTTAAAAAGTATAGATATAACCTATAACTCCCAAACACCTCACTTCACACAMCAATCACATATTATTATATTAGTGTCTCGCTTTATTTTTCACAGTAAACGCGAATATAATCTCTATTAAAATCTTAATCAAACATAAAGAGAGCCTATTTAACAAAGAGCGCGTTGAGTGCACTGCTGCGGCCAGAAGTGAATTCCAAGAAATCGCAATGYGCTGTACTCTCTGCTTTACTTAACTAAACTTTACTCAAAAAATGTGAAATTCAGRCAGTGAACAACTGTGGCTGAAGGAAGACGCTTCGACCGGCTCTSAAACATGAATCACCGAGAACTTGCATTTGTTTTGATTATATTCATAACATTTGGCGAACGCTTGCAGTTGTCCGCTGCAGAGAAATGCAAACCACTAAGCGGCTCGAACAATTTCGGGATCTATAGATGCCAAGGCGTGCAGACGCTGAGCGAGATAGAGCAAGAGTTAATGGCTACCTGGCGTGGCATAGTTGTGAGCAATCGCAAGGAAGATTACCTCGACTTTACACGTAAGTTAGTRCTCGCATGCATGCCAATGGTTTGTAGATRTTTGCATGTGTGTGTAGGTGAGAACATGTGAACAAGAGTTGCTTTATCAYCAGCAGCGCAATCGGGCGAGCAGCAGACACAAACAAAGTGGGCGCAGATTACTGATTTGGACTTATCGCAGGCTGGTGCTTTAAACCTCGAGGACGGTGGCTTCAGCTCGTTCACTGCTTTAGAGCGTTTAAACCTAACAAACTCACAGTTGGACGGATTGAAGCCRCGATATTTCCCAGTAGCATCAAAACTGGAGTTKCTGGATGYGAGCGGGAATGATCTGCAGAGCTTAAGAGCAGTGAATTTTCAGCATTTAACACAATTGAGGGTGGCGAATTTTTCACATAATAATATAAAGTTTGTGGCAGCAGACGCCTTAGCGGTATTGGTGAATTTGGAGCAACTTAATTTGGAGAACAATGCGCTRACGAACGCCTCAGTGGGTACCTGTAATAATCTGAGAAAGCTAAAACTCGGGCATAATGACATAAAAAAGGTATGTTGGGTCAAGTAAAAATAGAGTAATTCTTAGGGCTAAGGACTTCTTTTAATTTCCCTTTTTTAGATATCGGGGTATGAATTTGTTGGCTTGCCGCAACTGCGACATCTCAGCCTGAGCTTCAACTCTATACTGAGCATCGCCGATGGCGCGTTTCAGTCGCTGAGCGCACTTGCCGTACTCAACCTTTCYGGTAATTCTTTGCGTAAGCTTTCCGCAGAAACATTTCGGGGCATGGAGCGTATACCACTACAATATCTCGACCTCAGTTCAAATGAYTTGAGCAGTTTGCCGTCTGAGCTCTTTACACCTCTACGTCAGTTACAAATGCTGAACCTCAGCGCCAATCARTTGGAATCTCCACCATCCGGTCTCT